ATCTGAATGTCTCAACAGAAATCGAGACTCATCAGAGCAGGCAACATTTTTCCAGTCTTCAACTGTTCAATTTTGGTGAGCTCTTGCAAATTGTAGCCTCTTTTTCCTATTTGTAGTGGAGATGAGTGGTACCCGGTGGGGTCTTCTGCTGTTGTAGCCCATCCGCCTCAAGGTTGTGCGTGTTGTGGCTTCACAGATGCTTTGCTGCATACCTCGGTTGTAACGAGTGGTTATTTCAGTCAAAGTTGCTCTTCTATCAGCTTGAATCAGTCGGCCCATTCTCCTCTGACCTCTGGCATCAACAAGGCATTTCCGCCCACAGGACTGCCGCATACTGGATGTTTTTCCCTTTTCACATCATTCCTTGTAAACCCTAGAAATGGTTGTGCGTGAAAATCCCAGTAACTGAGCAGATTGTGAAATACTCAGACCGGCCCGTCTGGCACCAACAACCATGCCACGCTCAAAATTGCTTAAATCACCTTTCTTTCCCATTCTGACATTCAGTTTGAAGTTCAGGAGATTGTCTTGACCAGGACCACACCCCTAAATGCATTGAAGCAACTGCCATGTGATTGGTTGATTAGATAATTGCATTAATGAGTAATTGAACAGGTGTTCCTAATAATCCTTTAGGTGAGTGTATATTATACATTGTAATTTATTTCTGTGATCAAAGCTGAATTTTCAGCATCATTACTCCAGTCTTCAGTGTCACATGATCCTTCAGAAATCACTCTAATATGATGATTTGATGCTCAAGACACTTCTGATTATTATCAATGTTGAAAACAGTTGTGCTGATTCATATTTGTGTGGAAACCAGGATTCTTTAATGAATAGAAAGCAATTATTTAAAATAGAATCATTATAAATGTCTTTACTGTCACTTTTGATCAATTTAATGCATCTTTACTGAATAAAAAATATTAGTTTCTTTTTTTTAAATCTACTGACTCCAAACTTTTAAATTGTCTCTTTGTGAGAACAGTCGCATTCGACTGAACAATGTACAAATCACAGAATTTTGGAGTAAAAATGAAAAGATATATTTAGATGTGAAGAGATCCCCCCTCCCCCACTGATCGATTCTCTCAGTGTGTGTGTGTGTTTAAGCCCGTCTGAGTCTGCATACTGCTGGAATACTGAAGATCTGTGTGTGTGTGTGTGTGTGTGTGTGTGTGTGTGTGTGTGTGTGTGTGTGTGTGTGTGTGTGTGTGTGTGTGTGTGTGTGTGTGTGTGTGTGTGTGTGTGCTCCTGAAACTGGCGTTTGCTTTGGTTTGTTCTGTTGCTGTCGGCTGGAGAGGGTTTGATGTGTCAGTCATGATGTCAGACCGCTTTAATTCCAGTTCCACACTCACTCAAACAAACTAGCATATTAATAATGATAATAACACTTCTCAGCCCTTCCAAGTGCGACATTTTTTTAATCACATTTAATACTGATAATACTTGTTTCTGTCTTATTACTTATTTGATTTGAGTAAAATATGAAATATTAAAAAGTAAAAAAAAAAAAAAATGCATGATAATATATTAGTTTAATTTTTTAGTTTTATTGTTATTAGTGAATTTATTTTTTATTACATTTTTGTCATTTAATTTTTTAGTGAATTTATTTTTATTTATTACATAGACACATTTAATTATTTTGTTTAATAGCAATAATACTTCTTATAATACTTATTTATAATACTGATAATACTTATTTCTGTCTTTTGAATCTGGTGTAAAATATGAAATTTAGAAAAATATTAATAAAAAGGTAAAAAATGCATGGTAATAGATTAGGTTAATTTTAAATCTTTGGGTTTTTTATTATTATTATTTTTATTAGTGAGTTTATTTGAATTTATTACAATAATTATTTTATTTATTATCAAATTAAATGTCAGACATTTAGTACTGATAATACTTATTTCTGTCTTTTTGATTTTGAAGTCAAATATAAAATGTAGAAATAATATTAAAAAGGTTAATACATGCATGGTTATTGTAATTTTTATTATTATTAATTATGTTTATTAATAATTCCAGCAAACATCATTTGGGGTCAAAGCGACCCTGAATAGCTTTAGAAGGGTTAAACCTGTAATGATCTTCAGTCTGATTGTTGTTTCCTGTAGATTTGGCGATGCAGCTGAACCAAGGGAAGTTTGAGTATAACGGCTCATGTGGGTAAGTGTAAATCATCTACTGAGTAAAACACTACTGATTACACTGAATAACTCAATTAGAGGGGCTTTACCTACAAATAATGCAGTGTACTTGCTGTTAATCTTGTTTGAAGCTTTAGAGTGTCTGTGCTGGGAAAAAGTTTAACATCAAATTAAAAGTAGGGTACGTTTGACGGCTGCGCTATTCATTATTACTCAAGCTTTTTGACAGCTATTGCAATAATGAACCATCATGTGCTCACAGATGAACCAGTTACTGACACATTTATCACTAGACAAAGCATCATTATGAGTTTCACTTCCAGAGGAACAAATACAACGCTCCATAAAGTCTAAAAGATCTATCAAAGTTTCATTGATCTGAAGAGTTCATTGCGTCAGAACTTCATTCTTCAACACATTTATTGCAACTAGAATCGTGTAAACATCAACACCTGACCGTCAGAAACGTATTCTACATGCCAAACATCATGCACAAAAGCAACTTTACTAACATTAAAGGAGTAGTTCACTTTTTAAAAAACTTCTGCTGATAATTTACTCACCCCCATGTCATCCAAGATCTCCATGTCTTTCTTTCTTCAGTCGAAAAGAAATTAAGGTTTTTGATGAAAACATTCTAGGATTTTTCTTCATATAATGGACTTCAATGGGTACCAAACGGTCCAAGGTCCAAATGACCGTTTCAGTGCAGCTTCAAATGGCTTTAAACGACACCAGATGATGCATACGGGTCTTATCTAGCGAAACGATCGGTCATTTCAAAAATAAATTTTAAGTTTTATAAGCACAAATCCTCACCTTGCTCTGTTCTGTGATGCAAGTTCGTGACTCTCCTGTTCGAACTCCGTTCATCAAAATGAACAAATCTTTTTTCGAGTCATTTCGTTCGCTGAATGAACGAAATGACTCGAAAAAAGACTCGTTCAAAATTAACAAATCTTTTTTTGAGTCATTTCGTTCGTTTAATGAATGAAATGACTCGAAAAAAGACTCATTCAAAATGAACAAATCTTTTTTCGAGTCATTTCGTTCGCTGAATGAACGAAATGACTCGAAAAAAGACTCGTTCGAAATGAACAAATCTTTTTTCGAGTCATTTCGTTCGTTGAATGAACGAAATGACTCGAAAAAAGACTCGTTCGAAATGAACAAATCTTTTTTTGAGTCATTTCGTTCGTTGAATGAACGAAATGACTCGAAAAAAGACTCGTTCGAAATGAACAAATCTTTTTTCGAGTCATTTCGTTCGTTGAATGAACGAAATGACTCAAAAAAAGATTCGTTCATTTTGATGAACGAGTTCGAACAGAAGAGTCACGAACGTGCATCACAGAACAGAGCAAGGCGGGCATTTGTGCTTATAAAACTTAAAGGGACACTATGCAGCTTTTTTAGCTTAACTGAACAGCTTCAGAGTTATTGAAATGGTTATATAACTTCTTTCGGGTTGAATGGTGGGCGTCTCGACCCCCCCTGGTGCCTGTGAGCGCAAAAATCTCACTTGCAACTTCGGTGCGGCGGGCCGCGTCAGGAAGTATCGCGTGATATCAGCTCTCGCGATGTAACATATTCCTTTACGGCAACTCACACATACACACAGGAACAAGGTATAGATGGATGGAGTTTGTCACACTATCGTCATGGCTGAGCCGGCATATAAGATGCAGAAAGCTAGGAAAGCATTGTCGGAGGAACAGAGAAAGAGGAAACGGCAGACTGACCGAGCGAGGAGTCGGACACAACACCAGCATAGGCATAATTTGCAGGTGTGTTATGTCCCCATTGAAACTTCTCGCGGCACGGATGTACCATTACAAACAAATAAAACATCTCCAGGTAACTCTAGTAGAGCATTCATTTCGTTCGTTTGTTAAATAAGAGGCGATCTGAAATGTGTTATTTTTTAAATCAAGTGACCAAAGTGCTCGTTGCCTCTGCGGTCAGTGGTGCAGATAAGTTACAGTGTTCTGTTGTGACGCGCGCCTGAATCCGTTGCGAGGACTGAGAGACTCTCTATATTTTGTTATGGTGAAATCACAAAATCTAATGCACAAAAAACATATCCCTGCTTGAAATACAACCACTAATAAACAATCGGTTTTGATGAGGAAAATAAACTATACTACTAGTACCGATTAGAACCCAGAACCTCTGACACACTTGGCAAAAGTTCTGCCTCTGGACCATTAAAATCGTCGGATCTATGTATTTAATCACGTGAAAATTCTCACCACTAACAACATATATTATATCTCATTAAACGACAAATTAAACACAATGTACTATTGTATACTGTGAGTGGTATTTACGACAGTAACGTTAAATTCAAGTACTCCACAGTAACTCTAGGGGTCGCTGTTTGACAAAAACGGGATTTCTGCATAATGCCCCTTTAAACTTTATTTATTTTTGAAATGACCGATCGTTTCGCAAGATAGGACCCTTATGCATCGTCTGGTGTCGTTTAAAGCCATTTGAAGCTGCACTGAAACTGTCATTTGGACCTGGGACCGTTTGGTACCCATTGAAGTCCATTATATGGAGAAAAATCCTAGAATGTTTTCATCAAAAACCTTAATTTCTTTTCGACTGAAGAAAGAAAGACATGGACATCTTGGATGACATGGGGGTGAGTAAATTATCAGCAAAAGTTTTTTTAAAAAGTGAACTACTCCTTTAAGTAGCATAATTACATCACATTACTGACTTGCCCACATGACAATGGATATTTCTCAGTCTTTCTTTAAAGCACATCAGCTGTCAGTGTTCATTTGCTGATCCACGCTGTGAGTCGTGAAACTCCAAACATATTAATCAACACATTCATCATGGCAATATCCATTAGCATTGTGTTTACCGGTGTAGATTAACTACGGGACGTTAATTAAACGCATCATTGCTGTAAGGGGAGTGCTGATGATACTGTATGTGTTGATCTCTCAGGTTTCTTCTGAAGCCTGATTTCATGCGCCGGCCCGATCGCATGTTCGACCCGTTCTCAGAGACGCCGGTGGACGGAGTGATCGCTGCCACATGCAGTGTCCAGGTGTGTGTCCTTTCAGTCCGACTGAACTTTAACAGGCTTCCTGTGGTCATGGGAAATCTGCAATCAGGCCTGGAAAACCACAGGCATGTCTTTAGTGAACATGCGTTTCCCTGCGTCTGCTCTCGTCTAGAGGGAAACCTGATCGCAGCTCGAGTCATTTCGTTTCAGTGAATCAGACAGAATCAATGATTCATTAGGCAATTTGTCTGAATATTTATTTATTTATTCATTCACATCTATTTATTCACATTTATTAATTTAAATAAACAGTTATTTCCAATGAATCCGTTTAAATAATTTAGAATCACTAAATGGTTTATTAACCCTCTGGGGTCCTTCGGCCCAAATGGACCCGAAGCATTTAAATATATATATTTTTTTAATCATAGCTTCATCGGAATGGTCCGAAATTTGGTGACTTTGTTGGTAATTGGTATATGAACACCCCAAAAAATTGGGGACAGGATTTGAATAGTCTAAGTGGTTGTAAAAAAAATAGTCACACTCAGGACCTTCGGGTCCAAATGGACCCGCATAGGAAATGAATGGGAAATTGGCAAAAATGTGAAAATACAGTTTTTTTGTGCGTACAATCTACAAATCAGCCACGATCCAGAAAAAAAGCACACAACAGTGAAGGGGTGAATCTATAAAACATCAAGAGTGCAAAACAGACACATCCACACACACAAACACACTTTTATACACATACACACCAATAAATTCAGATTACATATGGGTTTTGAATTTTTAAAATGCTCAGTTTGTCCACCAGATGGCATCCATCTCATTTCAAAAATTGCTTTCATGAGGCCTAGGGTTGACTCTAAAATGAAATACAGCTTTAAAAAAAAAAAATTATAATAATAATAATTCTATTATATCCAATGGGGAAAAATTGGGTCATAATTATAGCATTAATATTAATTATAAATCATTTTTATTTTTGAAATTATCTCAAAACACCAAAAAAGAAAAGAAAAAATGTTATAAAAAACAAGGAAAAAAAAATTCTATTATATTCAATGGGGAAAAATTGGGTCATAATTATTGCATTAATATTAATTATAAATCATTTTTATTTTTGAAATTATCTCAAAACACCAAAAAAGAAAAGAAAAAATGTTATATAAAACAAGTAAAAAAAAAAAAAAAAAGATGATTTTTTTAAAATAAATATTAGTCCCACCCTTCCGGCCCATTTGGACCCGAAGGTCCTGAGTGTGACTCTGCAATGAAGGACCCCAGAGGGTTAAGCAATTTGTCTGAATATTTATTTATTTACTTATTTACATAAATTTATGTATATTTATTTAAATCTACTTATTTACATGTATTAATTACAATTTATTTGAATTGATTCAAATTGGTTCTTTTCAATGAATAAGTTAGACAGTAGGCAATATTTTTTATTTTATTTACATCTGTCTAACTTATTCATTGAAAAGAACCAATTAAAATAAATTTAAATATATGTAAATAAATAAATAATTATTGCCTCCTGATTCATTTATCTATTTAAATTTACTTTAATTGGTTCTTTTCAGTGAATCAGTTAGACAGACTAAATGATTCATACACTTTGTCTGAATATTTATTGACTTATTTATTTATTAATTTATTATTTATTTATTCAAATCCTTTTTATTTACATATATTTACATATATATATTATCTATTCAATGATCAGTCAGACAGACGAAATGACTCATTAGACATTTTGTCTGAATATTTATTTATTTAAATTAATAAATGAAAAGAACTGATTTAAAAAACATCTATTTATTTACAATGAATCAGTTAGACTAAATGGTTTATGAAGCAATTTGTCTGAATATTTATTTATTCACATCTATTTATTACATTTACATTTAAGTCGGCTCTTTTCAATGAATCAGTTGTTAGACAGACTAAATGATTCATTAGTGAATTTGTCTGAATACATTTTTATTTATTTAAATTCATTGAAATTAATTTTTTTAAATAAAAAAAAAATATTTAAATGATTTGTTTTTATTTATTATTTTTAAAATCTTTATCCGGTAACCATGAACAATTGGAAAGGTCGTGAAAAAAATCATGGACACAAGTGTAGGAATTCTTCCTTTAAAACCAAGTGAAAAGAAACCGTTCTCTTTTAGTTAGCTAAACTTTGACATATTGCCTGAATAATAACACTTCTGGTTTAATGACAGACACATCGAGTACTGAGGTTTGCTAGTGCTACAGTGTTACACTGTTGATTATGTAAGATGTGACTGTAATAAGTGTACTGTTAATCATTCACTGTGAATGAAAGCGACTGCTGAATGGCTGTCACCACCCTTGGCTAGAAAATGAGTGTTTGTCTCTCAGGTGATCTCTGGACAGTTTTTGTCCGATAAGAAGATCGGCACGTACGTGGAGGTGGACATGTACGGGCTCCCCACGGACACCATCCGTAAAGAGTTTCGCACCAGGATGGTGATGAACAATGGGCTGAATCCGGTGTACAGCGGAGAATCATTTGTCTTCAGAAAGGTAACCTTTATGCCAGCGACGTCTTTGTCTCGATTATGTCACGTTACGATCTTTTTGCCCTGAAGAGCCGAGGTGCTCGTTCTTAAACTGTAGCTCAGAATATCAATGACATAAAGACTTCCCATCATTATCCAGAACGTATAAGACGTGGAATTGTATAGTGAACTTTTTAATTATATCTACATGAGCTAAATGAAGGAGTTACTATAGAGATCTGAACGCTGCAGTATAATTATCCACACTGTTCTTTGATTAAACGCAACAGGAGAGTTTTTGAAGCATCTTTACATACAAACCACAGTTCATAGTGACCATGAGTTCCCAGAAAGGACAAGACCTATAAGTCTACTAAAGCAATACAGTAGTTTTATATGAGGAACAGTCATTAGGTGTGATCCATAAAGCACAAACTCTTGTGAAGTCATCTGATTTTGTATATTGATTTAGCAAATCACCCAGCAAACAGGCCTTCACACTTGTGTGATTATTAAAACTCGTTTATTTTAATGTAATTTATTATTATTAGTTGTTGTAATAGTAGTAGCAGTGTTTGTTTATTTGATTTATTTGTCGGTATTAAAAAAAAACGAAGGTTTTGGCAATTGTATATAGTAAAGTGCTATTTTTTGTGTTCTATGCATAATTATTAGGGCTGGGTAAAAAATATCGATTTCTCTATATTAATCGATTCTCATTTTTACGAACCGATATCGATTCTTAAATCTCAAGAATCGATTAGTCATCCTGTTTTCATTTGATGAATGGATGGAACATTGTAGCGCGCATCCCATCCAATAAATCACAATAATCTTTGTGCTTTGTTACTATTGATACTAAATAAAGTCTCAAATTTCAAATTACGTCCATTTTCTTACGAAATTCAAAAACATAAATAGCGTTTTGGCGCTGTGGCGTGACATCGCTCTGGCTCAGCTCAAGAGAAGCACATGATCTCCTCTTCTGCCTTAATAATACCGGTTACAGTGCGAAATAAACATGAATGAACGTGTGTTAAAAGATAGAGTACAACTTATCGAAATCCGTATCATGTCACATGGAATCGCTCAATCAGTGTTTCAACTGTGGAAAGACGTCAGTAAAACAACTTGTAAACAATGTCATGTAACGTCACATTTACCTCAGAAAAACCATATGTGACCATAAACTCGTTAGTCAGCTAGAAATATTAACTCTAAAGAGGAGCATTTTGCTAAATATATGCACCATATTACATTAATGTTCTTCAATATTTATGCATGTTTGAATAAATCTGGCAAGTTTTTATGACAGCCACCATTTAAATGTTTATATTTCATATAACTTTATTATTATAAAAATAAATAAAAGTGTAGTTTAAGTTTGTATAGCTACAAATCAGTTAATTTTTACCTTCAATATTATAGTAGGCTAATGAAGCCTATAGGCTACAACTGACTCCCATAGTTTACAGCATTAGTTAAGAGATTTGTTTTCCTTGAGAAAATTTGCCATGTATTGTACCTGATATCCAAAATAATCAATATTGAATCGAATCGAATCGAATTGCTAGCTTGTGAATCGAAATTGAATCGAATTGTGAAATTCGTATCAATACCCAGCCCTAATAATTATGCATGTTGCTTTGTAACTAATTTCAATAAAAAGATCACAAAAAACAGGCGCAAATATGTTCTGCATCAGATGCAGTGTTTTTGAATCTGAATGTGATTTAAGATTTTAATATGTTATGTAATATTCTGTGTTCCCTTGGAAAAATATGAGGGTGGATAAATAATGAATAAAGCAAACCTAAATATAAAAAGCACACACCAAAATGTTGAGGTGCAAGTTATGAAGAAATTGTATTAAAAAAGAATGATAATTGTGCAAAATCTTAGGCTTATTTATTTAAGCCTACCGATTAATTAATCAAATCAATCACAAATGAATCGCAATCAAATGTGGATGAGAATTTTCCTCCAAAAGATAAAATAAAGTCATTATTGAGTTAAACGAGATAAGCATCAAATAGACATTACAAAAAGTAGCTTTAAAAATAAATATTTTGATTCAACATTTATTACAAACAAACTTTTTGGCTACAACGATCATGATTTCTTTTTTCTTTTTTCAGAAGCTGCATCTGATTTAGTATTTAGTTATATTTACAGATCATTTATTGCAGATCAGAGCTGGCATGAATGCATTTACACTGCAGTTACGACTGCATAAACAATGCTATGAGATAAATGTGTTTTAAATGGGTATTAAAGGAATTTTAGACCCAAAAATTTTAATTCTGTCATGAAATACTCACTCAGCTTTAAGCTTTATTATTTAAAGGCACAATATGTAGGGTTTTTTCGCCACAAGAGGCCGCAGTTTCCAACAATAACAGAGGCGTAGGTTGATGACGCAGTGATGAAGTGAATGATGGGACTTGCTGTCAAGCTGATGGATCTAATAATGTTTATGGATGAGTGCAAACATTCATGTTTTTTAACATTACAGTGGTATGAAGCAGGTCGCGATTGCTAAAGAGACAGATATCACACGCGAGTCCCGCGGATATAAAGAAATAAGGACATTTAATTCTACCGAACTACCCGCAAGTGCTGGATTACTCACACAGGTCAGTTTATTAGACGAATTAAACTTGTGAGGTAACGCAGCGCTGCTTCACTCGGTCTAACGTTACACTATCACACTAAACGGCATTTAAATGTGTGTTGAAAGTTTTAATGTTATACTACGTGTTAGTTCGTTTGCTATACGAAACTAGCAGTAAGCTAGATCAACATTAGAATAACATACTGACCATATTCTAACATTTCATCATGTTGAGCTAACGTTATATAACATTGATTTGTTTTATGTACATTTGCTCACCTGTCTAATAAAGCTGTCAAGTCGTGACTCGTGAAGCTCTGTCGAGTCCAAGTTAGCCGCGGACGCTAGCTCTCGGCATCTCGAAAACGCCACGCTGATATTGATCCTCATTTTAGTTCTCCTTGTTTTCCCCAAAGTCTGCTTGCCATGGTCTATGTTTGAAAGAAACAAGAACTGCATGCCGCTAAACGTTACGCACTACGCAGTTGTCCACGTCTGTCGCCATGGTTACGTCATGGCTATGGCAGTACGAGCGGAAACCGAGGATAGCGCGGATATTGCGTCATTGACAGGCAAAAAATTTTCCGTGACGGCCACTTATTTAAAATTGGAATTTCTCTGAAATAAAAAATCTTTGGAGACTTTTTGGGATATTGTAAGGACACAAATACAGGAAATATATCACACTGTGCAAGTGCATTTTGGATATTTTATTACAAAATTCTTACATATTGTACCTTTAATATTCTAGGTCACCGGCGTCTCTTTTGTTTTGCTTTTGAAACCCCTTCCTCGAAGTCAAAAACACAAGCAGAGTAAATAACACGCAACGCCTCGATCCCACAGGTGATCCTGCCGGATCTGGCTGTGCTCCGGGTGGCCGTGTACGATGACAACAGTAAACTGATCGGACAGCGGATCCTCCCGCTGGATGGACTGCAGTCGGGCTATAGGCACATCTCCCTGAGAAACGAGTACAACAAACCTCTGTCTCTGGCCACCGTCTTCTGCAACATCATCCTCAAAACATACGTGCCCGACGGCTTCGGAGGTTAGCACGCTAACATGATGAAAGCAAGTCCATTGAGTTTCATCACGAGTCTTTACGCTGCCAGATCTTTTCGTTTCAGCTATTGTAGATGCCCTGTCTGATCCCAAAAAGTTCTTATCCGTCTGTGAGAAAAGAACGGACCAAATGAGAGCCATGGGCATTGAGACGGTGAGCATCTGCATCATTAATGCACACTCAACCTTGAGAAGTCTCGTTCATGTACTTTAATCAGTTCTTCATGTACTCGCTGAACTGTGCCAATCGACTGCTATCATTAAACTTTCAGCATTGATGTGTTTCTGTGGCACAGAGATATTCCTGGTAGCTTCTGGTGTGATTTTTCAGGCATTTCGGGTTTTTCTCACTTGTGCATTTGTTTGATACACATGTTGCCTACTTAATTTTACATGCACAAATGTTTTGAAAAAATTATTAAAATTGTATAACTCTTGCTTCAGATAATGCAGAATCCAGTCGTTTATTTCCCCTCCATGCTGTGAAGGAGAATGATGTTGTTTAATGCATTCTGGGTGTTTATCCAGTCAGATATTGCTGATGTGCCAAATGACCGCTGGATGGGGAATAAGAAACGGAGAGTGAATTCGGCCGCGATGACACCGCAGAAGGACTCAGGGAAACTGGGACAAAATATGGTCACCTGTTCCAAAGAGGGTAGCTATAAAAGTTCAAACGAGTTAGAGATCTGCATGGGCAGTGGCTCTGTGTAGGAGGAATAGAAATACACAAATCAGTCCGTAAAAGTATAGAGCTATACAATGAATGTGGAGAGCACATCAGATAATTTGATCTGTTTTGAACTAATAATTTTTATATATTAAATATATATAAATATTTGTTTTATAATAATGAATCTAATGTGATGGCATTCAGATATTAAGTGTGGCATATGTGTATAATGTACATATGTACATTTATTACTTTAGCAAACACTTTAATTCAAAGCAATTTAGTAATTTGACATATTCCTGAGTGAAACAGGATGAATGAATGAATTCATTTTGAATTTAATACAATTTCTATATTATCAATTATATATACATACAAACATATTACAAACCTGAACCTAATGCATATACAGTATACTGTGTATATACATAATTACATTAACAATTTTTGGAATATATATATTACTTGTTATATATGTATATTTTGTGTGTGTGTGTATATATATAATGATTCGAAATGATGAAATTCAAAATGTAATATAATTAAATTTTTTTTATTTAATATAATTTTTAAATTAGCAATTGTATATATTTGCAAAAAATGTTGGGTTTTCTGGCTATATGATGAATAGTTAATCAAGACGAGTTGGTTAGTGGACCTTTAAAGGGATCATAACACGAGAAATCAATTATCTTTGATCTTTTGATATATAAGTGGTCTTTTTACTTGTCTCATTATAAACAAAGCATTTATTTAATCGAGCTCCACAAACGGCTTGTTCTGATATTGTGGGATTTGTGACGTCACACGGGCATATGACTTCCTCTAGAGCAAGACATCGACCAATAGTTATACATCACACCATAAGCCCCGCCCACTGACAGCTGACATTGACTACACTGGATGTCAAAAGCAAACAGAAGCCATTATAATCACAGACACTGTCTACACTGATACAGTATACAGATGCGTGATCAGTTTCTAACATACTCCACATATTATATATGGATAATGTTTTCAAAAACTCTTACTCATGTGCAATAGTAAGCGTTGATACTGTTTCCTATGCAATGACATTAGCCAATCATAACAGAGTCCATTTAATGACAAGCCTTAAAAACGGATTATTCCAGACAGAGGGTCAGAACGAAGTTCCTCATAGATATTTGTGTTTTTGTGCAAAAAAAACTTAGGAACATTTAAAATAATAAAACAAATCCATGTCAGGACCCCTTTAATCTACACGCATTTCAAATCATTTGCTTGTTTCTGCATGTAGACTGTGTGATTTTACTATTGTTGCTTGTCAGATTTAATATGGCTCCAGTGAGATCTTGGGTAAAAGCTCAGGCAAACTAAAGACTTTGACACTGACATCAAAAAGCAATCCAAGACTGTCCTACGGCGAAAAACACATCTTTCACAATGAAATTCCCAAAGGTGAAAATGTGGCAAAAATCATACATTATGCATCCGTCTTAAAAGATTGCACTAAAGCAGGGGTTTTCAAACTTTTTGTGTGTGTGGACCACTATTTGTAATCAAGAATTTTTGCTGACCACACCATAATACACATAATAAAATATGCCTACACAGTCCTACCTGAATTAATCCACACCTCTAAATAGACTTACTAGCATTATATAAGGGTCATCACGTCAGTGCAACAGGCCTGTTTAAAGAAAGTTTACTGCACACAACGCCTGCCACATATTTAATTTATTTATTTACTCAAGCGCCCGAGGGCATAATCAGGTTAATTTGAACAACAGGCTTATTTCCATAGCAATGGAGTATGAAATCTATACAGTAATAAGAACACTTGGACATAGTTAACATTTCAAAACCTTTGGCGATTTTAGGGGATTATCAATCTTTTACAAGTCCTCAAAAAGTAGGCTTGAGTTTGCCCACTTCCAACACATCCGCAAAACATTTCAGAAACACGAGATCAAGAAACTAACTGGAAATTAAAATAATAACAAGCCTTATTCATTCCATTTATAAACATTTAGTTTCATATAAACTGGCTATAAAGGTTATGCGTGTGATGTGATAATAACAACATATTAGCCTCTGAGTCTGCCTCTTTTCTCTTTAGAGAACCTGTTGCTATCACCGATGCATGTTGATCTTGAACGTCACGGCCGAGTGCCACTAGTCTATTTTAGTAAACACACAATAACTTGACAATTTAATTGAAGTTTTATATCAATATAGGCCTACATATTCTTTTTACTTTTTTTTTTTTATGGGAATTTCCTGGTAAAATGAAGGGTTTTTTTTGCCTTTCCACGGACCACCTGCAGTGCCCTAAAGGACCACAGTTTGGGAATCGCTGCACTAAAGCACACATCTCAGAATCAGTTCATTAGTTTACATTTGCATTGACATATTTTGTTTTGTGAACCTAGATGCATCAATACTCACACCTCAACTGACCATCGATGACTTACAGCAAACGAAGGTGACAACCCAACACAATAAAGCATGTGATTTGCATCGCTGAAATGTGAAATATGAAAAGGGCTGCATTCATTTGTCTATAACCTCTTCCCAGACCTACATGAAACTAGTCAAGAAGCAGCAGAAGGATGTGGAGGCGTTGAAGAAGAAGCATGCTAAGGTGACCGAAGGCTTTTGTATCCTTGAGTTCATTGAATTGATTATGAACACTTTGCCGGAGTGTCACACACACTGAAGCCTGTAGGGCAGGAAAACTGACAGCACGGATACAAAGACAATCCTGCTTCCTATTTCAGGCACACGCTGCACTGCAGAGCTCCCACTGCGCTCAAGTGGACAGGATTGTTGCTCAACATGATAAAGAGAAGCAAGCGCTGGAGAAGCAACTCGAAAAAGGCTGCAAGAAAGCGAGGTGAATGTGATATTAGTTTTTCATTACACTCAGATGTACTTTTCTCTTC